CTACTACTACTACTACTACTACTACTACTACTACTACTACTACTACTACTACTACTACTACTACTACTACTACTACTACTACTACTACTACTACTACTACTACTACTACTACTACTACTACTACTACTACTACTACTACTACTACTACTACTACTACTACTACTACTACTACTACTACTACTACTACTACTACTACTACTACTACTACTACTACTACTACTACTACTACTACTACTACTACTACTACTACTACTACTACTACTACTACTACTACTACTACTACTACTACTACTACTACTACTACTACTACTACTACTACTACTACTACTACTACTACTACTACTACTACTACTACTACTACTACTACTACTACTACTACTACTACTACTACTACTACTACTACTACTACTACTACTACTACTACTACTACTACTACTACTACTACTACTACTACTACTACTACTACTACTACTACTACTACTACTACTACTACTACTACTACTACTACTACTACTACTACTACTACTACTACTACTACTACTACTACTACTACTACTACTACTACTACTACTACTACTACTACTACTACTACTACTACTACTACTACTACTACTACTACTACTACTACTACTACTACTACTACTACTACTACTACTACTACTACTACTACTACTACTACTACTACTACTACTACTACTACTACTACTACTACTACTACTACTACTACTACTACTACTACTACTACTACTACTACTACTACTACTACTACTACTACTACTACTACTACTACTACTACTACTACTACTACTACTACTACTACTACTACTACTACTACTACTACTACTACTACTACTACTACTACTACTACTACTACTACTACTACTACTACTACTACTACTACTACTACTACTACTACTACTACTACTACTACTACTACTACTACTACTACTACTACTACTACTACTACTACTACTACTACTACTACTACTACTACTACTACTACTACTACTACTACTACTACTACTACTACTACTACTACTACTACTACTACTACTACTACTACTACTACTACTACTACTACTACTACTACTACTACTACTACTACTACTACTACTACTACTACTACTACTACTACTACTACTACTACTACTACTACTACTACTACTACTACTACTACTACTACTACTACTACTACTACTACTACTACTACTACTACTACTACTACTACTACTACTACTACTACTACTACTACTACTACTACTACTACTACTACTACTACTACTACTACTACTACTACTACTACTACTACTACTACTACTACTACTACTACTACTACTACTACTACTACTACTACTACTACTACTACTACTACTACTACTACTACTACTACTACTACTACTACTACTACTACTACTACTACTACTACTACTACTACTACTACTACTACTACTACTACTACTACTACTACTACTACTACTACTACTACTACTACTACTACTACTACTACTACTACTACTACTACTACTACTACTACTACTACTACTACTACTACTACTACTACTACTACTACTACTACTACTACTACTACTACTACTACTACTACTACTACTACTACTACTACTACTACTACTACTACTACTACTACTACTACTACTACTACTACTACTACTACTACTACTACTACTACTACTACTACTATGGCGTGTGCTACTAATACAACTTATCAGTAGTATATAGAGAGAGACCCAGAGACAACAGCGGACTTGATGACGCCATTACTGGAGAAGGTGTGGAAAGAGGGCAAAGTACCCGAGGATTAGAAGAAAGGATACTTATTCAAACTACCAAAGAAAGGAGATTTAAGTCAATGTAAAAACTGGCGCGGAATTATGCTCCTGCCCATCCCAAGCAAAATACTAAGCTTCATTATCCTGGAGAGAATCAAACACGCCACCCTAGATGAAAAACTTCGACCGGAACAAGCTGGATTCAGGAGAAACAAATCATGTATTGATCAAATCGCCACTCTACGGATCATCATTGAACAAAGCTTGGTATGGCAGTCACCTCTCCTCCTCACTCAACTTCATCGACTTTGAAAGGCCTTCGACAGCGTCAATCGAGAGGTCATCTGGCAACTACTTCGCTACTACGGGGTGCTATCGACAATTATACATCTCATCCAACACTTAGTTGTACGACAATGCTGCATTCCAAGTAATCCACAACGGGAAACTTACGGAAGCCTTCGAAGTGAGGACGGGAGTGAGGCAAGGCTGACTGGCTGTCTACTATCGCCAATGATCTTCTTGATTGCAGTAGATTGGATAATTCGACAGACAGACAGACAGACAACGGGCAATGAGGAAACAGGCATAAAATGGACTCACACACAATAATAACAACAATAAGTTTATTTAGTATGAAGACTAGTTCATGCCAGTGACTTGAGCATTTAACTTTTAGTCAGTGGATTACGAATTTTAATTTATCCCTGCTTGTTTCGACTTAAGTGAATACATAGTATTATGAGATATCACACATATTCAGGTATATTTATTTACAAAAATTATTTATACCCCTTACACAGGCCTCGTGGTGTAGCGGTTAGCACTCTGGACTTTGAATCCAACGACCCGAGTTCGAGTCTCGGTGAAGCCTCCATGATTAAGTGCTCTTAGTGAAGATGTGGTTCACTAGCTAAAACAATCTACTTTCTATCCATGCGACCCGGGTTCCACCTCGACAACTGTTGTTAAGAGTCTAAAGCTTGTTAGAAATACTTTACGGGATGCGCCAAATTTCTGACCTATATAGAAGAACTAATTCAACATTGGTGTTGAAAATACGAATTTTGTTTTTTATTCTGAGTGTGAAAGATTTCTAAACTGATTTCAGAATGATGGAGGTCTGCCTTGATAAATGAAGGAACTAACCTCTTTCATATGTCTCCCGTTGATAGTGATAAGTGCTCCTTGTCGTTGTTGTTGTTGTTGGTTGACTGTTTTCATCACCTGTTTTCTCTTTTTTTTATTCCTTCACGTTCCCCAGCTAGTAGCTTGAAGTTTCTGTAGCAGTGTGTTTATTTTTACAGGATGGGGTTGCTAGCCTCATGCCCAACCTTTCCTCTTTACCAGGATTATTTTTGGCTCAGCGAAGTAAAGGAGTGCGTTGGCGGCCGGAGATCGAACCCCGGACCATGTGCATGGTCGGCGAGCATCCTATGCACATCTGCAAGTCTTCGAGATTTTGTGACATTAGACATAAGTCGTCTGCGAAGTCCAGCCTTTTTATGCTGTCCTCATCGGTTCAGCGTATTTCTGTCTTCTCACTCCCTATTTACGGCGTTTCGCGTAATCCAGTCCACTACAATTAGGAATATCATTGGTAATAGTAGACAGTCTTGTCTTACCTGTGTCTTTACTTCAAACACCTCGTTGAGTGAGTTTTCCGTTGTGGATGACTTGATATGTGGTATTGTCATACAGCTGTTGAATGAGGTTGACAAAGGTGTGGGATACTCCATAGTCAAGTGAGCGAGTTTATCCTTCAGACGACGGTGACAACCAGTGTGAAGGGCTCAGCTTAAAGATAAACTGAGAGCGGTTGTGATGAGAAGGGGAAGAGATTTTCAGCTGGACAATGTTAACAAATGATCAGACTGATACATGCATGAACTTTCACTTTAACAAACCGCCGATTATCTGTCCTACTCTCCTTCATCTCCCTCCCTTCATTCGACACCACTGACTTGTAGACTCATTTGACACGCACTCCTACTCTATTCGTCTATTCCTACCATGCCACTTCGGTGTTATTTATTCTAAGGCCAGTATTAATTCCACTGTGAAATTCCTCCGAGCATTTCTTCCAAACTGGTCACATCGTGTGAGTCACGAATTCTGTTTTATTGGCATCAAAGTTATTGACGCATACTATGAATGCTTGTTTAACATAACAGGTGGTGAAGCCATCTGTTAAATTTAACACGACAGTTATTCATTCTTTGCGCTTCTTCCTCTTATTCTCCTCTTTCTTCTTGTCTCAAATATCCCACTTATCAATTGTATACATGGTATTATAGTGCATTGTATACATATAGCTATACTGATTCATCCATCCGGCCTGATTTTGTACACATCCAGAACCTACAAAGAACGTATTGACCAAATTTATTTCACAGATAATTCAACAACATCAAGTGGAAGGAAGCCAATTCTCTGAAGTCAAACACACATTGAAAATTCTTGAAATGGGCAAGTGCATGCACTCTCAATAATTTCATTTCTTCAATTCGTCTGAGGACATGTTTCGACAGAGTGTCAACTAATGCCAATTGGTGCAAAGTAGACAATGCCAACTGTGTCTCCAAACACAGAGAGATAGATAGACAGATAAATGGATAGGCAGACAGACAGACGGTCACACAGACAGAGAGATAGATAGATACACACCAGATAGACAGCAGACACAGGGACAGACAAAAATGAAAGAAGTAAATATCTTTATCCTCTGAGTGTTTCCACTTGTAACCCTATGGGTTGGCAACATGCATATTTATTTGCATATCACAAATAACCTACTGGACTGAGGAAGTCAAGGAAGTCGATTGATTCATCGACAGTGTGTATCGACAGTTCCACAAAAGCCTCAAACAGTCTTATCTCAGCGGGATAGTGTTGCCTTTCAAGTTTGAGTCAGTCAGTGAGTCAGTCAGTCACACTGTGATTAACGCATAACTACTAGACAAAACACTGGTAAGAGCAAATACATGATTTCTGTGACAAAATATATCCTTACCTTCGCATATCTGAAGGGAAAGTTGTATAATGGAATTCTGTAGAAGTCACTATCTATCCTACGAGTTCTGAAAGAGTTCCTCAGAAGTTCCAGAACACATGCCTCATTTTCATATACGAGATAACAATAACCTAAAATATGAGATAATTTCAATGTCAGTCAAGTGAAACAAAGTAGGCGGAAACGAGGCTTCTCACTGTTTACCAGTAAAATGACTTACCTCTATTGTTATACTCGCTACTCAAATGAACACCATCTGGTTTTGGCCAAATGACGGTAATTTGGCCAAATCTACAAAACACCTCCATTATACCAGACTCCGTTATTCCATCTGGCAACCCGTAAACGAACACTTTTCTTGAAATATTTCCTGATATGTTTTTTCTAAATGGTAAGGTTCCTGTCCAGTAACAGACATCTTCACTTTTCTTGTCTGTAGCACCTGCAATGTGAAACATAATAATCCTCAGTTTTGCGTATTAGATAAACACATGGGTAGCTGACTGACGAGAAGTTCACTCGCCAGATGGTCATTCATTTACGCACTCATCATCACTTACTCTTCCTGATTATTAGAGGGGAAGTGGACACAACGGTGTTCCACTCACAGTTGAATACATCATCTAACGATCGATAGTCGCGTTAGGTGAATGAATGATTAAATTTATATTCATTCCACTATTCATTCTCCTGACAAGTAGTATGTAAACCAATCAATCACTTCTCGATGAAATCCTTTCTACCTTCAAATGTTTGACGTATAAAATGCAGAACTAGTGACATTACTGACTAAAATACCAGTGTCAAGGACATTGGCCGGAACTCAAGTAGTCACGAAAAACGATGCATGCGTTAAACCGATACTCACTGACTACTGAGACTGAGTATGGTGAATCAGAATCTGTGATACACAAGTGAACGATTAGAAGCCGACCACTCAGATAAGCCGGCCCCAGTATTAAGTGTGTTTCTCCAGACAGTAAATTACAATGATAACCAATGGCATTAAGGGACTACTTTCCTCATTCCTTCCTTCCTTCCTTCCTTCCACTTACATGCATTCCAAGTTATACACTGAGAAGCATAGTGAAGAAAGGTATACTACAAGGAATAGTTAGTTAGCACGTGTACTAAAAAATAAGTGATTCACTCTCTTTCTCTCCCTCGCTCTTTCTAGCTGTCATTCACGTATCTTTATAAGCCAACAGATAATGATTGATAAATATATATATATATATATATATATATATATATATAAGTAGCAACAGACCGACTAAACAAACAACCAGCCAACCAACCAACCAAGTATTAAAAGCAAATCACCTGTTGAAACCACTTCTGTTGCTCTGTGATAGTCCAGTGTCTGGAACACCCGGGGAGAAATCACATGTGATTCTGCGATCATTGCATTCCAGTCATACTTGTCGACAGAATTGCATCGAATTGTTGGTCCACCTTCACTACGAGGTGAAGCTGTTCCACCTACTTTCACTCCAACAGAATGATACTCTGGTTTCATGACTGCAGTTTCAAGACTGCAGCAATTGTAATCGCTCATAACTGAGGCGCTTCCATGGTCACCATTCTCCTCCTCGGATTGTTGATGACTGAGTGTTTGAGTACCAAAGAGACATGGTCTTCGAATTGTTGAGGTCGCAGGACGTGTGATCAGTCTTCTCTCCAAATCAACAACATTTTGATCGTGGAGTATCTCAGAAAGGTTTGATTTATAGTCGGTTCGAAGTGATACCTCATCACATTTCTCATCTACATGAAAAGACAATAGAGTAAGTACATTGTTAATTCGTTCGTCATCAGAAAATAACCGGTTAGGATTAAGAAACCCTCGTATGGAGTGACAAATTCAATTCCATCATAGTGACTCATCATAGTAGGTCAACATAACGAGTTGAAGAGAACTGGGAATATTGTGTTATCTATGTCCTCTGGTTAACCTGGCCCAGATGACTAGCTCGCTAGTTTTCTAGCCGGTCTCAAGCCTGGATGAAGAGGGAATGTTGGGCCGTGGTGCTAGTAGAAACTTCAACGTACAAATATATGAAAACTACTAAAAATGAAAACAATAGCCTTATTTTGGGAACCGATCTCCGCCAGGATAATGACAGCCAGGTTCAACTCAAACGGAAGGAATGTTACAATCATTCAATGCTATGCGTCTACAAACGTCTCAGAACAAGAGAAGAAGGAGGCGTTCTTCAGACAACTACAAACACTAATGGACAACGTCCCAAATGGCGATATCAAAATCCTGATGAGCGACATGAATGCGAAGCTGGGAGGAGACAACACAGGAAGAGAACTCACCATGGGTCGTGAGGCCCTCGGTGAAATGAACGACAATGGTGAACTCTTCTCAGACTTCTTCGCCTTCAATGATGTGGTGATCGGTGGCAGTGTGTTCAACCTTAAGGATATACACAAGGTCAGCGACATGGACTTCACCAGATGGACACACCAAAAGCCAGATAAACTTCATTTCAATCTCAAAGAAATGAAGACGGAACCTACTGGACACAAGGTCGAGGAGAGGAGCAGGTGTGGGTTCAGATCACTATCTAGTACAGGGGACTTTCAAGGTGAAGCTAAAAGCCTCGAGGATAGCTGGGGATAGGCCACAATACAAATTCAACACTCAATTACTGAAAAACACAACCACAAAGGACACTTCCACTGCGACTGTCAGAGCAAAGCAGGAAACACTACGTGACACCACGGAAGAATCATGCGTGGAAGACCATTGGAATTCTCTGAAGGTGATTTTCAACGAAACGCGTTCAACGGTTTTAGGAAGAAAGAAGAGACAACACGAGGAATGGCTCTCAATGGACACTTGGAAACTAGTGGAGGAGAGGAGAATGTTGAAAGAAAAAATGATTCAACGCAAGGACGGACAAGAGAAGGAGACGCTGAGTTCAACTTTCACAGCACTGGACAAAGAAGTGAAGAAGAGTTCTAGGAAGAACAAAAGACAATTCTACGACAATCTGGCCACTGAAGCTGAGAAGGCAGCAGGCCAAAGGGACCTGAGGACACTATATCAGATAACCAAGTCTCTATCCGGGAAGAGATCAACACAAGTGAAACCTATTAAAGACAGCCAAGGGAACCCAATTACAAAGGAAGAAAGACAGATTAAACAATGGGTGGGTCACTTCAAAGGACTCTTGAACCGACCACCACCTCCAACCCATCCAGAAATACCAACAACAGCGCGTACACAACTGCAAGTTGACACCAATCCTCCAACGAGATCTGAAGTCTTGAGTGCAATCAAGCTTCTGAAAGCTGGAAAAGCAGCTGGACCAGATAGAATACCCCCTGAAACCCTGAAAGCGGACCTAGAGACAACAGCAAATATGCCGTCTCCATTATCGCAAAAGGTCTGGAAGGAGGGAAGTGTGCCTACTGATTGGAGGAAAGAATGTCTCGTGAAACCACCAAAGAAGCGCGACTTACGCCTCACTCTGCAGGAACTGGCGAGGAATCATGCTCCTGTCGACGCCAAGTAAAATTCTGAGTCGCATCATCCTGGAGAGAATAAAGGACGCACTGGAGACAGAACTCCGACCAGAACAAGCTGGCTGCATTCAGGAAGGGCAAATCATGTCCTGACCAAATTGCAACTCTACGCATCATCATCACAGAACAAAACATGGAATGACAATCAAACCTCTACCTCAAATTCATAAACTTTGAGAAGGCCTTCAACAGACAGCGTTGACCGCGAAGTAATTTGGAAACTACTCGAGTACTACGGCGTGCAGCGCCCAAATATTCATCAACCTTATTCAACAGCTAGCTGTACGACAACGGCACATGTCAAGTCATCCACAAAGGAAAACTCAGCGAGGAGTTTGGAGTGAACACAGGTGTCGGACAAAGGTGCTTGTTATCTTTCACCAGTGATATTCCTACTTGTGGTGGACTGACTGGATTATGCGTCAGACAGTGGGAAACGAGAAGGCAGGGATATCCTGGACCGACGTGAAGAACCCAGAAGACCTGGATTTCGCGCATGGATGATTTATGTTTAATGTGACACACACAAAATCGAAGACTTACAAGCGAAAACCGACCGACAAACTGGTCGAAGAAGCAGCCGGTGAAGACAGGACTCCAGGTGAACATAGACAAGACAGGGGTTATGAAAATAACCAACCAATAACAACAGTAACAGCAACATCCAGCGCCAATCACCATCAACGGGAGGAATTTGAAAGATATTGTTTCATTCACTGATCTAGGGAGCATTGTCTCAACTACAGGAAGTCGGAACGGACGAGGATGTCAAATTGAGTGAGAATCGGGGAGGGGCGAGAAACACCTGCATCAATCAACCTGAAACCAATCTCGAAATCTTCGTCACTCAGCCATCATCAACAACAAAATTCGGTAGGATTTTCAATACAAACGTCAAGTCAGTCAGTTCTTGTATACGGATGAGAAACTTGGCGGGTGGATCACAAAGAATATTTCCAACAGCCTGTTGCAGACATACATCAGCAGCTATCATCGCTCTATACCGAATATCAGATGTCCGGGTCGGAATGAATCGCCAACAAGAAACTATGGGAAGAAAGAAGACAATAACCAATCGCCCAACAACAGAAAATATGCAGGCGAAAGTGGAAATGGATTGGACACTCACTGAGGGGGCCACAGTTCAACCGAACAATGAGTATATGTGCATAACCGGGAACTGTGTCAACTCTAAATGTTTTCGTCCACTGTCTATTCAGTATTGTGAACAGGCTCAAGGAATAAACGTATACAGGCACACCATCAAATAAGTCAATACGGGATGTCTCTAGAAAAAGGACAGTTATTAACTATATCCGTTGAGGGAAGGGAATGGAATCGAAGGCGTGAATACATGAATAGTAATAATAATAATAACGATCATAATAATAGTAGTAGTATGAAATGCAATCAAAATATCTGCGATTATAATCATAGTGTGCCTTTGTAGATGCATTGACTGATCTCTCAAAACATCCATCCACTGGAAACGTACATGGAATGGACAAGTAACTAGATTTTATAGTTGCGTGTCTATCTCTAGGATAAGGAGGCTAATTCATTCACTCTGTTTCAGAATAACAAACACTTGTAGTTCTGATTGCGTTGACTTACAACTAGCCTTTCTTAAAGCCACGCTCACGACAGACGGTCATCCGAACCGATTTATTGACAAGAACATGAAAGACAAGTAGTCCAAACTGGTCACCGACTCACTTCCAAAGAAAGCCTTATTCATGAATCCGGAATCCAAAGATGATCAAGGTATGCTTCAGATATGCTGAAAAACCGTTTGTCAAAATCAGTCGGTAAGACGTTCTTTGCAGAAAAACTATAAATGACGTTCACCAGCTGCAAGTTGTTCTCCATCTGTGTAAAAGATAAGCGTCGTCGTCTTCCCGCCTCCATATGCATCTGTTAGTTCACCTGATCCTTTTATGGAGCAAGGGACATTGGTCATAGCCAGCGAACGCCTTCCACACGGAAACGAGTACATACTCTTGAGTGGTTTTACAAGACAGAAAGGAAGGGTGTACGGAGCTCTATTCTAGAACAACACTTGCTCAACTCCTGTCACTCTTCCAGCTTCGACCATGGTTTGAACATCATCATCATCGTCATCATCATGTATCGAATTCATGACAACTTGCTGCATTTCCTTCGTCTCAAGCTTCTAAAGACAGCGTGGGCCATGGCCAGTCATGAATTAAAGCCAACCAGAATTTTGTGTAGAAAAGAAGTATGTGCAATGCCTACTTCTGCCTTGGCCATAGACGAATAGACATTTGTTTATTTACTTTGTTCATTCACTTACTCTTTTCATTTACTTTCCCTCATTACTACGAATAATATTACTATTATTATTATTATTATTATTAATAGAAGTAGTAGTAGTAGTATCCTCACAGTGAATTGTTTCCAATTTTCCCATTTGTTAATCAAATTCAAAATGTGCATACCAGTATTCAATTGTATCTAGTCAAATCACACACCATGAAATGTAACGCTGGGTTTGAAGCATAGTGGTGAGTGGTGCGTACTGCTGAGGTGTCAGTCGGAAACTAGGACAACGGAAACAGCCGTCCAGTAGTCACTGCAGCTTTTCCAATGCTCCTCCAACCGATCGAATCCAACCAACCAATCCAACACTTGAAAGTTCTTTAAATGACGTTATTTGTGTCTCCACTCGACATTGTTCTATTTTAATATTTACAAACCTTTGACTGACATATTTTATTCTACTCTCTTTATTTCGTGTATTCACGCCTTCGCCTCAATTCGCTAACTGGACTAAATTCTCATAAAAGAACTACACATACATATATATATATATAAATACAAATACGGTTCTACAGCTCGATAATAACATTCCTTGAAAAGAGTCTCTTCGCTAAATATTGTCTTCATAATGGTACAATGTTACAAGGGGAATTGTAAAATTATTAGTTATTAAGTAAACAAAGGTGTTTAGCAATTACAGAAAACACGATAAATGCAAAGCAAGTAATACACTCACTGTTATTGTTGATCACAGACGCTGAGCGAGTCGACTCCATTTTGTTTTTATGTCAGTGATGATGGTGGCTTTCAATCAGTGACAATGTAATCCGTGAGAGTGAAGCTTTGAAAAAATTATTGAAGGCAAACTGTGTATTCTTTCTGTGTGGCCTGAACGATACGTTCACCACGTCACAATTCTCTAAACTGAATACAAGTATCCCAATCAAGTGGTGAATTTAATCAGACTGAGTACAAATCATTGAAATTCTGAAGTCGTGCCTCCATTGGAGAAAGACAACGAAACAAGAAATCAATAACTTCCAAGCAATCTGTTTGGTCGATTCAATTTTGTTATTTCCTATGTTTAGTGATTAGTGATTATCGCTCAGCCCCCTCGCCCCCCGCCCCCCGCCCCCTCACCACTGCATGCTAATCTTCATAGCTTTGAATTTGAATTTAAATTTGAATGTCTAAATGTCGGTTCGGTCGTTGGTCAACAGATTAATTATTTCACCAAAGTGCATTTGAAAGAATGAGTCAAGAATGTATGAGTGATGCTCCCCACCTGAGAAAGTTGACAATCAATCAGTGAAATAAATGATCATATGATTATGATGATGATGATGATGATAATTAGCAGCTATCTCAGGAAATAATTGATAGTAAATAAGAGGTCGAAGAATTGAAAGTGATTCTGAAAAATAAAAACGAACAAAACAAATAAAATCTTCTTCTACACAGCTTCTCACTGCAGCAAATCTACAAAATTGAGTTGACGCACTCAGAGAGTTAAAAGGTGCTGTGTAAGGCGTTTCTGAGACCAGGGATTAAATTTCTCCCTAAGAATATTTTCAATATTAATATTAATAATAATAATAATAGTAATGATATTAATAATGATAATAATAGGTTAGTTAGTCCTGCAAAATGCGTGTACACACAATATACACAATATTGGCTGGATTATTCCCTTGTGATCTGGAACGAAGTGAATTCGATGCATTTCGACGAATAGAGAGGAAATTCAGATAGCCGAGTGGCTTAGCAATTCTGACGTTCAGTTCTTCAGCTTCAGCTTTAGCTTCAGCCTCGTGAAGAAGCTGTAGGCGAAATCATTTCAACGGGTTGTATGACCAGAAGAAATAATGTGATCCACAAATCAAGTGTTGAATGTGCATTATTCTCCCTCCTTCTAATATCATGAAAGTGCTATCACGCTAACACTTCAAATATATTTATATTCTTGTTTCGAAAGATCTCTGTAGTCTACTCACAAATTATGATTGTACAATGACTGAAGAAGAAGAAGAAGCGAACAACAGAAAGACAATTAATCAATAATCAATAATTAATGAGTAAAACAGTATGAAAGAGGAAAGGAGAAGAATCCTGTGATATTCACTGATCGACAGACTGACTGACTGACTGACTGGTTTACAGGTGCAAATGTCGAATGACCGTAATTAACTCATCGAAGTAGTTCTATTCACATCGAGTCATCTATTCATCGAGTCATCACAGGATGAATGATGCAGATGAGCAGACTGACTATATTGTAGATGCTATAGGTAGACAGAGAAGGTGGAAATGAATCAATTTGTCTGACAGATTTGAGCATGTGTCCAGTTCGAATAAGACTTGAAAATGCGTCTGTGTGTGTGTTGTAAACACGTTGTTCTACAGTGTAACACTGACTGGAATTTACGACTGTCGAATTGCACATCCGAGTGTCTCAGAAGCTCTATATTTATTGAAATCAGTCCGACATCCCCGTTGACTGATTCCATGGGAATCTGAATACGCGGTCTCTGTTGACAAATCATTTTTCAGTAGAGCTGGTTTAGAGATGGGACGGAGGATTTCTTCAGATTAATTGGATACTAGGTGTTCGATAGTATGTGAACATGAAATTGAGGCATCACTTCTTGTCCTTTCTCGTAGATATCAATCTACGTAGATCTACAATCTAATTAAAGTGTGGTTCTCATTGGTTAGGAGATTGTGTGGATGACGCTTTGATATTCAAAATACTGACTGAATACTGACTGTATCGCTGTCGAATTGGAAGGGTGAGAGGCTAAGTAAATTAAGTGACAAATGACTCCCTGTGGGATTGATTATATTATGCGTTCCAAACCCCATCCGAAGGCTGGATTGTAAAGCTTTCTATTCTTGAGTGTCTGATCGAATCCTGTTGATCAGACGTGTACAATACTCAGAATTATAAGTGACACCATACTGTTGTGCATTATGGATCGTCAATATTTTATGATCTAATGTGAAGCTTCAGTCGGCCGGAATCTCGGATGGAGTCATCCTCTGTGAGACTATTGAGGGTTATTGGCTGTGATGAAGGAAACCCTCTCCGGGAGTGAAACGGAGCCAGCTAAAGCAGAAGCTCGAAGGTAGGAAATACAGCAGAGATATTCATCTGAAGTTATATATTCCATACACACACACAGATCAAATTATAGTAGTGGTATTAGAATTGATGTCCTCACGAGGAATATATTGCATGGTCTCTTTGTCTACTCAAATAGGCACTCAGTAATTGGATTGTGCTCCATGCAATTATTGGCACGATATATCAGCTAGCACGTCAGGTATGGACATAATTTGTGAGAGAAAACCGAGAAATCTCCATTGTCTCTTTGATATTCAGTATCAATAACTTTAAACAACTTCATCCTGTCATGACAACCTGCATTAATATTCATATGATACATTGGCGTTTTCTAATATTTAGGTGGATATATCGGAGATATATTAGGATGGAATACATTGTTATTTATAACCCTCACTGAAGTATCTTACCATTATGTTTGAGAGAACACTTCCTTTCGACAACTTATTCTCCTTCTTTGGGCTCTGAAGTTGTCAGTTTCTAGGAGAATGTTCCACCTAACCTACAACCTCACGGAGTTAAGACAATCTTAAATCACTCAACCTCTCCCTGTTCTACTTCGCTAACTCTAGAATCCTAATTGCCCTCCATTGGTATTCCCTGAGCTACTTAAAACGGACTGTGTCATATTTCGAAGAGCATCACAGGTTGGGTCAGTAAGGCGACTGACTAGTGTGCAATGAAATCAGCTTGTTACTACAGTAGTCGATAGACACCTGAAATCATGTGGGAAATACTCCAAATCCATTTTGTCTGACTGTCTACACCCTCACGCCTTCTATTCACAACTCTCCCCTTCCTTGCATCTCATCAGCTAGAAGTCTGTCTAGGAGTCATCCTAAGAGATAACATGCTCTCTGTCGTACAAGGAAGTACAGAAACTCAACGATAGAATATATTTGGCCTGCTCGCCTCTCAACAGAAATTCGTCAACAATTCAAATCATCCACTCTTGACAGTTATTATGTGTTTACAAATACCAAATGAAAATAAAGGATCACCTTAATCAAGAAAACATTTTTGACAGCTGAACGTCCTTAATTTTCTCTTTGCATGGATCGCATTCACAGAATGCTTTGTGTCACCTTAATAACCAAACCTTCGTACATTTTTCTGTCCTAGTGTTTTTTTTTGATAAGATAAGATAAGCTTTATTGCAAATCAGTACTTGTGATACAGAATGGAATTCTCAGCACAATGTTGCATCCAGTTAGTACAATAACAATAAATATAATTCTACATAGATTAAGGATATCTCAGTCAGTTTTGAAAACAACATACAACAACATATCATTCACACTATACTACACGACACGACACGACAACACACACTTGATATTTGGTGACATGAGCTGATAAACAACTCTGATTAGATGTTAGTTAGTATTAGTCGTCATCGATGCTGTCTTAATATGGCATGTATGGTCTTTACTTTCATATGTGAGGGCATGATACTGCTCAGAGTAGAAACGAGACAAAAAGAAGGAAGCATTGGATGGATCTTTGTGTTGAATGAATGTCGGATGAACTTTTGATAAATATAAACTTCAGTCAACTTGAGGATAAGCATCCTGAGCAGTGGAACAGCTCTCAAGGCTAAGTAGAGGCTCACCCTAATCAAATCAGGGCGATATTAGGACTGATTCGTGTTAGGGTTAAAGTTAGTTGGGGTGAGGTGTAGGGTGTGGGTTGATGACTAGCATTGTGGCTAGGTTTACAAGATGTAAATGAATGCATGTATAGAATGTCGACACCCAATGTCATACTGTGGGGAACTTTAGTTACACGTCAGAGAGAGGCATCCTGTGTAAAACTGTCATGCCTTTGTATTATTATTATTATTATTGTATCCTTTAGTTCCTAGAGGAACATAGGGCTTCAGCTGCGCACCTCCATTGACTTCGGTTTTCTGACAACTTTTTCACCCTGCTCCAGGTCTGCCCACATGCTTTCATCTCCTCTTCACATGACCTCCTCCAAGTCACCCTTGGACGACCAACTCGCCGCCTCCCTTTCGGGTTCCACTCGAGGGCTTGTCTAGTGATGTCACTTGATGGTTTCCTCAGCGTATGGCCAATCCATCTCCATTTCTTTCTGCCTATTTGTTTCACAATCGGTTCCTGATTGGTTCGCTCCCAGAGATCCCTGTTGCTGATCTTTTCTGGCCATCTGATCTTGAGTATTGAGCGGAGACAGTTGTTAATGAAGGTTTGAAGTTTGTTTGAGATGCTCTTTATGACTCGCCAAGTCTCTGATCCGTATAGTAGCACTGACTTCACATTGGAGTTGAAAATCCGGATCTTATTTTTGATGCTGATTGCTGTTGACCTCCACACAGATTTGAGAGTAATGAAAGCTTGTCTTGCTTTTCCGATTCTGGCTTTGATGTCCTCGTCAGTTCCGCCTGTAGTTGAGACGATGCTTCCCAGGTAGGTGAAGGAGGTTGTTTCTTTCAGGTTCTTCCCATTTATGCTTATTGTGGTCTGTTGTTGCTGTTGATGTTGGCAAGGAATCTTCATCATCTCTGTTTTATCTATGTTCACGTGAAGTCCTATCTTTGATGCTTCTTCTGCCAACTTGTTACTTTTCATTTGCATATCTTCCAGTTTATGGGAAATCAGACATATATCATCGGCGAAATCCAGATCCTCCAAGTCTTTTGTGTCAGTCCATTTTATGCCTGTTCCCTCGTTGGTTGCCGTTGTCTGTCGCATTATCCAATCAATTGCAATCAGGAAGATCATTGGTGATAGTAGACAGCCTTGCCTCACTCCCGTCCTCACTTCGAAGGCTTCCGTAAGTTTCCCGTTGTGGATTACTTGGCATGCAGCATTGTCGTATAACTGTTGGATGAGGTGTATAATTGTCGATGGGACCCCG